GAACCTTTCAAAATAAAACAGCTCGGCCATAAGTTCCACTTTTATGAAGCTTCTACATTTTTACTTTGTGCTGACTTCAAGAAGGAGGAAATGCTTGTTTACAGAAAAAAATTAAATGAACGAGGAACCTAACAGCTTTCAATCCTCTAAAAAACATGAAGAAGGACCACTTCTGAGAACGCATTATATCTGTGATTTATTTTAAGACACCTGCATTTTATATTAACTCTTTCTAATTAAAGTAGATTCAAGGAAGTTAAAATAATCCTTGTCGGGCAATATGGAGTCATAATAAAGTGATATTTAGCAAGTTCTGATGTCATGTTTCGGCCATTTTATACCAATTTGTGGTAGTTTTATCTCATATTTCGGTCATTATATAAGTTCTGTGGCAGTCGAGCTGCACGATTGGAGGAAAACATCTGGGATTTTATCTGACAGATATCCTGATTTTATTTAAGTGATCGAAAGTCAAGCTGCAGTTCACTATTCACCGAATTTAAAACTATACTAAAGCTGTAAAAAAACACAACCTGTAGCTGTTAAACACTGAAACTGGGCTTATGTCAGCCTGCATTAATTAATGGACAGTAAAAACAACCACTGAAAGGTTCAATCTGCTTACTGTAAATAAAACTAAATTCATGCATTAGCCTGATTATTTAATAGCCACACATCACATATCCTTAATTGCAACTCTTGCAATCGTTTTTTGAAATCAGTTCCGCCTTATGCGACGATTAAAATTTAGTTTCAAGAGAGCAAAAGCTAGTGGAGATATTACATTTTTGAAAACAGAAGAGAATTAGAAGTAGAAAATCATTTATAGTTGTTAATAATTCCATTGATTCACTGACTGATGCAAATTATTCTCAGAGTTCTGTGAATGCTGAGGACACATTTTGACCTCATCTAGTGAAAAATAAATAACAGATGAGGCTTAGAGGGAATCAAAAAAATGTGAAATGTCACTCACAGGGTCAAACTTACTGCTTGGAGACCTCTACTACTC